TCTGTGATGGGGTTTACGTGACAGTTCTCTGCATGTGGGCGATGCCATGCTAGAGATGGGACTGAGCTGTCCCATGGTGAAGGACATCTCGTCTGCTCCTACTTCCTTGTTTACATACTTGTCCCTTGAAAGCCACAGGGGATGGATACTAGAACTCCTGCAGGTACAAAAATCTATCGACACTCAAGTCCCTTATATAAAATGATGTGGAATTTGCACATAACCTATACACATCTTTCTGTATACTTTAAATCATCTCTACATTGTTTATAATACCAAATGCAGTGCAATGTTCTGTAAATAGTTGTTTGTATTATTCAGGGAATAATGATAAGAAGACAATGACAAGTCTCTATATGTTCAGTACAGATGCATTTTTTTTTCTCGAATATTTTCAGCCCTTGGTTGGCTGAATCCACAGATGAGAACTCACTATATCCAAGGCCATTGTGAAGCATTATTGGCCTTTTTTTTTTTTTTTGGTACTGGGGATCGAACTCAGGTCCTTGTACTTGCAGGGCAGGTGGCGGAACCACTGAGCTAAATCCCTGGCCCTACTGGCAAGTTTTGTTAAGTTGGCCCCAACCCATCCTCTACGTCCCCCAGTTTTCTATGGAGTGTTTGATCTTTCACAAGCTCTCTTTGAGAAAAATACTTATCAGGAAAGGAGAAATCAGGGTTGGAAGGGGAACTCACAGACTGAGAGCCTCAAAAGAGATCTCAGCCATTTACAATGTTTACAACTTTATTTGGATCCCATTTCAAACAAGCAGACTGCAAAACAACAACAACAACAACAATAACAAACCCCCAGACCGAAAACCCAAAACCTGCGACATTTATGAGACAGCTGGAAGTTTGAACACTTAATAGACATTGGATTGTAAGAAAGAAACCATTGGTAATTATTTTAGCTGACAGTATCGTTGCTGTGTTTTCAAAAGAGTCCTTATCTTCTGGAGAAGCATACTGAACTACCTGCGGATAAAACGGCATGCTGGAGGAAGTTAATGAGTGAGGGTGTAGATGAAACATTTTTGACCACGAATCACCAATGATCTGAACAGAGTGATGACTCTGAGGGTGAATGATATATTCAGTCCATTTTGGTGTTTAGAGTTTCCATGATAAAAAAGTGTAAAAATTCTAAGAGGCTCACAGGGTGGGTGGGGGCTCATCCTAATGAGGTGCACTTCTAGCGGGGCTGGGCTGCCCGTCCTGGCCGTGCAATCGCTAGGGGTAAATATGGAAGTTCATCAATCAGCAAGGCTCGGACGAGGGGCAGGCTGGCAGTGGGCCCAGTTCTGGGTAGCTGCTGTCCCGCCCCGAGGCCCATTTGCCCTCTATAAATAACAGTCTATATGAATGCTTTACTATTTTAATGCGCACTTGCTGCAGCTGCTGAGCATGTTTGTTTATGTAGCTATGAAGCCTTCTGTAAACATCACTATCTCAAAATTGCCCATGTGTCGGAGCATAAAGGGCTCCCTGTAAAAATATATTTGCAGATGAGTCTCGACCGGCTCCTGGGTGCCTGCATGGCTGGTGTCAGAATTTTCCAGGGTTTGATTCATTTTCAAAAATAGAATCACATGATGGGAAGGTTCTTGGGAGGTCGCCTCCAGCATCCCTCTGCCTTTAGGCAGGGCCAGGACGAAACCACTCTTAGGATGCGGTCTGTCCTATATGGTGTCAGTCTGTCTTCTACCAGATCCCTAGGACAGGCAAGGCCTGGGTCCTGCCAAAGGGGCTCACTCGTCCTACTCTGAGGAGCTGCTGACGTGGGGATACGAGGCACCCACAGGGCACCACTCGCTGGTCCTGCACTCTGCCCACGAGGTCACCTGCTGCAGGACACACCACACCAGGGTCACCGTGTGCCTGCACGGTGCAGGTATGGAGCGCAGGATATAGCAGGGGCTCCGCGTGGAAGAGGCCTCCTGATCTAGGCCACTGCACACAGCCACTTAAGGTCGACTGAGACATCTGGGGAACAAATAGCCAGCGTGGTGGGAGGAAGGCCTGTCATTGTCAGCTCCCGGTTCTCAGGGGTCCTGGTTTCCAATACAGCACCGCCGTGCTTAGCTCTCTGCGAGTTTGTTTTCCTCCAGTGCCTTTGGTCCACACTTTTTTCCCCTCTGGTTTTGATACACTGAAGCATTTTTCTCCCTAAGAGCCCGTTTAAGGCCCATAAATCCCAGTCGCAGTTCTCATTCACAAAGGAAATGCAGAGGGAGGGAGGAGACAGGGCCGCCTCAGACGCTCCGGGAGTGTGGTTCCTGGAACACCCCTTTTCCGCTTTCCAGAAATCAGAAAACTATTGTTTTCTTTTTTGTTTTTTGTGTTTTTTGTTTTGTCTTTTGGTACCAGGGATCGAACTGGGGACTTTGAGCTTGTGAGACAGGCAGCAGAACCACTGAGCTAAATCTCGGTCCGAACTATTGTTTTCTTAAAAAAAATTTTAATTTTAATTTTTTGAAAAAGAACATCAATAGTGGTTGCCTTCTTCCCCGGACAGGGGTCAGAGCTTTGATTCTTCTTGCTGGCAGCTGACCAGTTTTCTCTAAGAAAGCTGAGGAAAGGTCGGCGAACCCTTGGAGGCAAGGGCCACTGGTTATTATCAAGAAGACAGCATTTCTCCCGTTGCCCGGGTCTCACTCATTCCATGCTGTACTCAGGAAGACAGGGCCCGCTCCCGGGAGAATTCCGGCTGGGGCTGCACGAGGGTCATTTGCTTACTCCAGGTACAGCCCTTGGGTGTTTGGAGACAGGGCCTTGGCTTGAAGGGGCACGGGGAGCTCCGGGCGTGATTCGAAGCTGAGATACTACCAGAGGCTGCTCCTGCAGGGTCTTCCCGAGCTCAGACACCGGGAGAAATCTGCGCACCGCCCTCGCTGCATCGGATGGGGGTGTTATGGCAGTGGGCGAACACTGCCGAGGCTGCGTCTTCAGGACACCACTAGGGGGCGCCAGAGTCCCTGTGCTCAGCCAGGGCTGGAGGCATTTCTGGGCTGTGGGCAAGGGACAGGCTCCCTGTTGGAAGCGAGCCTCCCTCTCCCTCCTTCCCCTCCCCTACACAACTGTACCCCAGGATCAAGGTCCCAGTCACCCTGTTACCAACACCGGCGGTACTTATTTAGTATTTTACAATAGCGACAGATTAAAATACGGAAAGAAGGCTTTTAAAAATATGAGGCTCGTGAAGAAGTAAGTCATGGCTGGAGTTACTGCTCTTTGTCGGTTTCTCTTACACAGTTGTATACCCCAAGCACACACCGCAGTGCTAGGTCCTTGGTGGAAGTGAAATAAACACGCAGTGACCCCTCAGTCCCACAGGGGATGGAGTCCAGAACTCCCCAGAATACCCAAACCTGAGACTCAAGTCCCTCGTGTATAATCAAGGTGTCCCCTCCCGTGGACTCAGATTATCTGTTAGATTATAGATTCCTTAAAATGTCTATTACAATGCAAATATTATGTAAATAGTTGTTGTTCTGTATCCTTTAAGAGTTAATGACAAGAATAAAAGCCAGCAAATGTTCAACACAGGAGGGACCCGAGGGCTGACTGCATGTCCTGTCCGGTCCTGATTACTTAAGGCCAGGTGAGGTCCAAGTTGCCTTTGTTCTGTGGAATGGAGAGCACTCCTATCACTGAGCTCCTCCTTACAATCTTTTACTCTCATTTTTCAGAGTTTGCTGCATTTAAAAAGCTTACTGCAAAAATGGACAGCGCTGTAAGAGAAATTGGGTAGAGGTTGTGTCTTTGCCTCTTGCACAGGCAGACAGAAACATGGGACCAAGGACTCTCCTTTGAAAGGGACCACCAGGGGTTGGGTTTCTCGGTACAGGTCCATGAGGATGCTGGGTCAGCACAGATTTTCAGATGCTATCAGCCACGCCAGAGCCTCAAGTTGAAGCCTTCAAAACATAGCACAGACTGCATGCATGCGAGAGAGATGACTAGTGATAACTCAGAAGAACAGTGAAGGAATGACTGAGTTGGAGTCCTGCTTTACACTCTTCCTGGAAGGCATTATTGTTAGCTTGAGTCAAGTTTATGACTCTATTTTGAGGGGTTTTACAGATAAATATGGGCAGGACTTGCTTTGCTGTTGGGATGCGGAACAAGTGCAAAGTTCCGATCGAGTGAAGACTTCAATAAAACAGACTGTTTTCCCTGTGCTGAGAACAGAACGTGCCCCTCAAACACACCTATTAACCATAGAGGGGTCAACCAATGGATCTTTAATTTATTTCTTTTCTGCTGTTTTTTTTTTTTTTCTGGGTCTGCAGTATAATATCTATTGGGATTTTGCAAATAGAGTATACAGAGGCTGGGGTAGCTGGTATAAAGAAAAACCAATGCTGTTTGTCTTACGAATGGCTCTCAAAGAAAGGCCAAAATTGCATTTCTCTCTCTCTCTCTCTCTCTCTTTGGTACTGGGGGTCAAACTCAGGACCTTGTGCTTGCAAGACAGGCAGCAGAACCACTGAGCTAAATTCCTGGCCCAAAATTGCATTTTTATTAAAAGCAGTTTCTTAGGCTTTTTTGAAAGGCATAACTTCTCTATCTTGGGTCAGTAATGGATAACCACACATATTTAAATTAGCAGTGTTTTAAAGACATGTAACAAGTGCTTTAAGGATAGATCAAATTTTATAGTTTTTGGTACCAGGGATTGAACTCGGGACCTTGTGCTTGCCAGGCAGGTGGCAGAACCAAGATCAAATTTTAACTTGAGCAAATATTTGGAAATTTAAAATATATGAAATGCTCTCTTTTATTGTTCATTAACTCATTTCCTAAAGGGATCTTAAAAGCTAAATGGTTAGAGTTCTGGGCAAATAGACTTCAGATTGTAAGACATATAGACGTACCGTTTCATGAAGCAGGGACTGTCCATTTCTGTACCTTGGAGGAAGCAAGAGCATCAGACAGTTTCAATGAGCATTGAACCCACAGATAACATAGATAACACCGGATGGAGCCTGTCTTACCTGTGGCTTCCACCATCCCTTCTAGGATGACCACAATCTCCAGTTCCTCTTTAGGCAGCTGGGCTTTGGAGATCTCCCAGAAAGGGCTCTGTTGGTTAATTTCGTGGCTGATGATCAGCGGTGACACCAGAAACAGACGGTCATCCCCTGTGTAGTAGCCTACATTGATGTCCGTCTGGTTCAGGGGGATGAACTCCCCTTCTGAAGTCTGTTTGGATTTGATCAACTTGGCTCTGATGGAGGCCTCCACGATGTGAGAGTTCCTGAGGTCCCCCACCCGGAACATCAGGCACAGTTTCCCATCCCGCATGGAGATCACCGCGTGTGTGGAAAACACCAGGGTCTCTGCCCTCTTCTTGGGCTGTGATATTTTTACAAACATGCATCCCACCATGAATGCATTGACAATGGATCCCAGCACAGACTGGATTAAGAGGAGAATAATTCCCTCCGGGCACTTATCTGTGATGACCCGGTAGCCATAACCAATGGTGGTCTCCGTCTCTATGGAGAATAAAAAAGCAGAGACGAAACCGTTGAGGTTGGTGACACAGGGAGTCCATGAGGAGTCCTCTATGTGGTCCATGTCTCCTCGGATGTATGCAATTAGCCACCAGATCATTCCAAAAAAGAGCCACGTCACTGTGTAAACCATGACAAAGATGAGCAGGTTGAACCTCCACTTGAGGTCTACCAAGGTGGTGAAGATGTCGGTCAGGTAGCGGTAGGTCTCCCGCACGTTGCCATGGTGCACGTTGCATTTCCCATCTTTCCTCACGTATCTCTGGATTTTCCTTTTGGTCCGGTCCCGGCTGATGTGTCTTGGCAGGTCGTCCCTGGCCTGCTTAGGCAGCTTTGGCTGGTGAATGGCCACGGGGCTCTCCACATCCTGATCCATGGAATCGCCCTCCAGGACGTTAGCTGGTGGTGTGGAGAGAAGAAAAGAGAAATAGGATGAGACGCTGGCTCTTTGGGGACAACAGAACCACACACTTTGTAAATGACAGTGAAACCCAATAAGCCGTGCATAGTTGTGGACAGGGTGAACAAAGGCATGGTTAGTGGGCGCCTTCTGCAGGGGCCCCTGGCCGACTTGCTGGATGGTGCACTGTGATCTGGCTTGGACAAGTCCTTCCCCATCCAGCCCTAGGGGACGGAGCTCCCTGCCAGCCAGCAGCTGCCCTTGAGTCAGCTCTGATGGCCGGATGTCTGCCCCTCTCTGAGGTGCTGCAGCACAGGAGAGGCAGTGAGCTTTTCAAAGAAGACCTCCTGGGGTTCCAGTGGGCTTGGCTCTCCCAAGAGCAAGAGTAGGTTCTTGGGCCTGCTCCTGTGAACCGAACTGTGTCCTTCAACCACAGGGTAGAGACTCAGCCTCCAATGTGACGGTGTTTGGAGATGGAGACTCTAGGGAGACAGCTGCTAGTTGGAAGAGTGGGCCCTGGTCTAAAAGGAGGTAAGTCCTTAGATGAGGAAGAAGAGTCTCCAGGGGTGGGCATGAGTAAAAGGGGGGTCAGGTGAGACATGGTGAGAAGCAGCCCTGTGCAAGCCAAGAAAGACCAGAAACCAGTCCTCTTGGACTGTAACCTCCAGAGCAGAACTGAAAACATAAACGGCTGTGTTTAAGCCACCCCTCATGTGGAAATCATTTACCAAATGCTCATGAGCCCACCTCGCAAGGTTGTTATGAGGTTAAACGAAACCATACACTTGACTTGAGCTTATATGAAACAGACATGCAATAAACACCTTTGGTAATAAATCGTTCCCTTATTATTTTTCATCTTTAGGGCAAGAATTTTGAGCAGGCTTTTTACATTATTGACCAGGACTTAAAAAATTTTTCTAGTTTTTGTTGGGAAATACGCATCCATTGTACTTTGAGGTTGATTCAGTGCCAAGGCTAAAAAAAAAGGGTAAAGAAATGAAGGAATGTTCCTTCTCTTTCTGTGTGTTCACCCATTTAATTTGGTTTCTGCCTCAACATTTGACCTTTGCAATTTGGTGCGTGGTTATTCTTTCTGATGGCCATCAAGCTAAATGGTTTGCCATAATCATTAGTGAACGGTGCATTAGGAGAGCTCTCTTCGAATCTGAGTGCCAAGAGAATTTTGGGACTGATTGTGCTACTAAATGGGTATAAGCCACTGTATGAAATTACTTGGCTAGCCAATAGTTTTAGGGCTTCTAAAAGTTCTATAAACAGTTCCTTCCTCCAGGCTGTCATTCTGGGTCCTTTGCCTGTGCTCTGCTGTACTTCTTCAGTGACTACGATTTTTCTGGTGGGAAAGTGACTAAGAGAATGGCCAGGGGTGGGGCTAGAGCAGAACCTGCTCGCTCCTGGGCCAGCCTTCCACACACCCAGTATGTCAGCTTGCAAATCAATAGCACAGATCTGTTTTATGTTTCAGCCCAAGCAACAGAAAGCATCAGGGCTGCGGGATCTGCTGCACGGTTTGATAGCTTTGACTTTTAGATCATCGCCTTCAATAGGCTTCATTGTACATGGAAAAACCTGCATGTTTCCTTCTTAGAACAGATGTTCAGGCAGGCGTGGAAGAGAGCAGGGATGGGCTGGAGGTGGGCGGGGTGTGGGACAGAGGGTCCCATCCCTGCCCATTGCCCGCCCCCCTCCACGGTGGGGCCTTTTGATCCTGCATGGTCATGTCCAAGCTCTCACTCCTCATCCTGGCCTCAGGGGTCTCTGAACAGGTGTCCTCGTGGGGTGACTCCTGGGGTCCAGCTCTGTGAGGTGGGGAGGCCTTGTCTGCAGAGCCCTGAGAGGGGCCCAACAGGGCGTGCACACCTGGCCTAGGACACTGGTCTGAGAGCGCAAAGCCCCCTGAGCTCTTATCTCTCTGATTCCTTAAGACTGATGCTGGAGATGGGCAGAGTCAGCTGGGAGAAGAGGGCCGGGGAGTGGGGTGGGCTGGGTGTGTGGTGCACAGTTGGAGGCACGCAGGGCCTCATGACCATGTCCAGAGCATCAGTGGCACCACTGCACAAGGAGAAAGGGACTCTGCAGGTCCCAGCCATGAGCTGTACCTCTGCTCCCCACCCAAACACATGCAGAAGCCCGCGGGGAGGATGCCAGGGGATGCTAAGGATGACTTTCAGTAGTTCTTCCTTTCTTGGAGCCCAGGTGTAGATTGCAGCAGGGATCCGAGTTGCATTTCCAAGAGCACGCTGAGCTGTCCCTTGGCAGACTGCAGCTGGATCGAGGAAGCAGACGTTTCCCCCAAAGAGCCCTGCACTGCTGAGGATACCACTGCTTACTATCCTCCCCCGGAGAACTGGCGTGACCCTGGGCTGCCACAGGCATTGGCCACATGGCTGCTGCCAGCTGGCTGCACGGCGCTTTCCAAATCCTGCAGGGAGTTTGACGACAGACAAAGCAGAGGAGAGGATGCCCCCTGCGGACTGGAAAGCATTGGGCAGAGGAGCAAAGAAACAGGAGGAGCCAGGCCCAGAGTCTGGGTGACTTGAGAGTCGCTTCTCTGGGTTTTGGCTCAGCATCAATGCAGGCCTGTGAAGAAGGCTGAGTTTTTGAATTTCTTCCTTTCTCTCTCTTGGGCTTTTTTGTTTCTTTTTGAGCTCTGTCTCTCTCTGTTAGGAAGCTGATGAGTTTAGACAGAAGGTATGAGATAGCCTTGTGTTGAAATCGAACCTGAAAGAAGTAACTATGACAGAGCCCCAGGCTGCAAGGAGCCTGGTTCCTGGATCAGTGAGCAGCGCTGTCACCTTTGAGGTGGATGCGTTCTTGCTGCAGGGAGGGTGGCTGAAAACCCGGGTGTGTGTCGGGGCCTCCTCGTGGAAAAGCCCAACATTTCAGCTTGGGTATGGATTCCACAGCAGAGACATCCAGAATCCAAGAAAGGCTTAGAAAACACTTTTGGACTTTTTAGTGCCAAGTGGAAGATCAAGACAGATCTGAAAGGTACATACAAAGTCAACAGTTGGAGGGACGAGGACCCGCATGTGAGCCGGGTAATTCTGAGTGGGAGTGGCCTGGCATGCTTTCAACTATCCTGCTAAACACCCTTATTCTTCCAAATTTTCTACAGTGATTTATATAATGTCTATAATCAGAAGAAGAAAAAAAAACAAACAGGGGTTTTCAAGTGACACACTGAGATACCTTCCTCCTGTCTGATTAAAAAATTTCATCCCACAAAAACCTAAATGAAGTACTTGTTCTGAAGGCATCTCATCCCGTAGGTCTGGCAATTTAGGAACTGACACTTGCTTGAGCTGAGTTCAGGGAAGTCGTTAAGAAACTTAGCAGGGCCCTTGTCTAGAGTGTTAGGAAGGAGAGGTGGAAACGCAGAATGCAGGAGTGTGGCCACCCAGGGCCAGGCCCGCAGGACACAGCGAGCCGCCATCCGCCGGGGTGATGGGCTGCCTGGCCCGGGACACAGGGAGTCAGGGAGCCTGGGGTGTTCAGGGGCTGTCAGAGAGCGCTGCAAGAAGAGGGCAGACCAGACCTTCCTGTTGTGCCGAGTTCAGTCTCAGTGGTCCTGACAGAGGCCTTAGGCACAAAGCATGGCTTCTTCCTCATCAAAGATGACCCATGCATGGAAAGAAACCCACAGACGGGACACCATGTTTTCCAGTCATATATTTGATTAATATGCAACATACATAAAGAGCTCCTGCAAATTAACAAAACACAGATATAGGCTTGGGGGGTCACAGGGGAGGAGCCAAGGGGACACTGTGCAGGGTCCTCATTCCCCATGTGCGGTGGACAACTGGTGACCCACTTGGAAGAAAAATGATGTGATGAGTCCCTTCTTTATCCCTTATGTCACAGTGAATTCCAAATGGGAGTTTGAATGCAAAAAATAAAACCACAGAAGTAGAAGATGTATTTTTAAAAATAATCCTGAGTTGAGAAAGCCTTTTAAAAAGACATGACAGGAATCCAGATACTATTTAAAAAAAACGATATTTTTTGACAATCTATAAAATTCAAATGCACGTAAAAAGAAAGCAAGAAGTTAAACCAGGAAAAACATATTTGCAAAGTGTAACATATATGTTCTCCATTTACAAAAGTAATAAGTAGCCTGATAGAAAATGGTCAGAGAAAATGAGTAAGCAGTTTCTGAGGGAAGAAATGCACATAGCTTAAAAAAATACGAAAAGACAAGTAAAAGCATTGCAAATAAAATCATGTTTTACCCTAAGATTAGCAAAATTAAAGACCAACAGCAGCTGCAGCATGAGGGTGTGTGTGGGTTTTTTTTTTTTAATGTGTATGTTTAACTGTACATTAAATAACAGTCTTTCAGGAAGCCAGGGGAACAGCAGGTTCATAGCTTAGCAAAGAGTATATTCCTTGGGTTAGCAATCAGGGTCTAGACAATTATTGTAAGGAATTAACTTCACAAATATTCATACATTGTATGTAGGGGCTGTGCTACAGCCTCTAACAGAACAGTGAAAAATTCACGGAAGTGTCTATGTCCTGATTAAACACGCCATTGTAGAAGTAATCCACGGAGTTTTTCCAATCATTTGAGCTCTTCCACTCTTTGCAGAGACCACCTTGCAAGGAGGTGTACATTTAACATGGAGACCCCTGTGCAATCACCTTTCCTTCTATTGCTGTTGGCTTCTCTTTCCACCTCCAACATGGTGCTAGAGGCCCCTGCGGGAAGTCTCTGGTCCCACCTGCTCAGTATACGACGCAGGCCTGAGAAAAAATACACTGAGACAGAACTAAGAGAGAGAAAGTGGGGACCAGGATGACCAATGCTGGTGCAGCCCACAAAGGCCCTGGCCAGTCCCAGACAGACTTTTATTCACAATCACTTGGGGTAAAGGTGAGCTACGGGTGGTTTCTATGGAAATTTATGTAAACAAGGCTCATAAAGGGACAAGACAAGGCATTCTTGAATTAGGAACAGAATAGACAAAAT